TGGACAGATGAGACCAAGATCAACCTTTATCAGAGCGACGGCAAGAAGAAAGTTTGGAGAAAAATTGGAACAGCTCATGATCCAAAGCACACCACATCGTCTGTAAAACATGGTGGAGGCAGTGTGATGGCATGGGCATCAATGGCTTCTGGGTCTTCCAATGGCACTGGGTCAGTTGTGTTCAGTGATGATGTGACCAAAGACGGAAGCAGCAAAGTAGCCGGATGAATCCTGAAGTGTACAGAGATGTACTTTCTGCTTTTGTCCAATTACTTTTGAGCCCCTGAAATGAGGAGAGTTTTGTAAGAATTGTAGCTGTTTATATACATGTTTAATCATATATTTTTGTTCAACCCCTTGAATTAAACCTTAAAGTCTGCACTTTCAATTCTGTCGTAGTTCATAGTCGTAGTCGTAGTTCATTTCAAACCCAATGTGGTGGCATGCAGAGCCCAAATCATGAAGATTGTGTCACTGTCCAAATACTTTTGGGCCTAACTGTATATATTTTCTCGTAAACTACAGCAATGTTGTGGTTAAATTGTTGATTTCCACACAACCGCAGTGGGATTTATTTTTAATTTCTAAAAGACCACACATACGTGAGAGACTTTAGGCTAAGTTTTCATCTGAATGTTCATCACTAACACACCTGTCTGAAAACACTACATAGTAATTGGTTTGTTTCCAGTCTGTTCCTCACTACTTTTTTTTTTTAGCTTTTGTCCTTCGCACCACTCTATGTTTTGCGTCTTTTGTCCTGCATTTTATTGAGTATTTCTGTGCCGTGTCTCAGGCCGCGGAGACCTTCAGCCTCAGCTGGACAGTGCCATGCAGGATGTCAGTGACATGTGTCTGCTGATGGAGGAGATGGAGAAACAGGCAGTGAGGAGAGCCCTGGTGGAGGAGAGAGGACGATTCTGCACCTTCATCAGCTTCCTGCAGCCTGTGGTGGTATGTACTGTAAAGAGGACACACGTGGAGGAGCCAGAAAATGTGAAGGGGGATTGAAATATTAAACACGAGGAGAATTTGATAATTTAGTGAAGAAGGATGAGCAGTAGTGTTGGGAAGACCGACTCTTTTTCGCCTGACTCTTTTTACTGACTGAAATTGAAAATTGAACGGATATTGAACAAGTCATTTGATCCTTTTTACTCTCAGTAAATTGAACGGATAATGAACAAGTCATTTAGCTCATTTTTACAGCAGGTGGCGCTGTAAGATAAGATAAGGCTTTATTCAGCCTACAGCGGGGAAATGTAGTTGTTACAGTAGCAGGATAGACACGTAGTGCTAAAAGTAAAAGTAACAGCAGGGTAGACAGTATTTTAGTTATTCACATAGAACAAAATAAAAATGCAAACAATTTGCAGTGTAGCTATTCACAGACTTGGTATATGTAAACAATATGAGTTTTAAGAATCGTAATATGTTGGAAGACCAGAACCTGTACTATAGCTGTAGGCCTCTAGTGGGCGTTGTAAAGAAGGCCGTGGTTCTCGAACACTAAATACTGAAGGCAACATGGCTTGCTTCAGCTGATAAAATATAATACACAAAATCACATAATCAATTCAAACCATGCGAAAACCTGAGAAAGCAAATACACGCCACAATAAAGTGACTTGTGTCCTGCGTCCTCCCTGCTATTGTTGTTTAACAGCACGACAGTGACTGGCTAGCTGCCTGTCACAAATGAACGATCCGATAAACGAGAACGAAAAAGAGTCGTGAACTAGTCATTTCTGTTTCCTGTCCTGCTGACTTGAGCTTATGCAGCTCTCTGCCATGTGGCGAGAGAAGGTACTGCATGAAAATGAACGAATCGCTCACTGAGAGGACTCATTAGTCCCGAGTCCTATGAAAGATTCGTTCATATTGGACGAATCGTTCACGAACGACACATCACTAATGAGCAAGCAGAGATGGTGGAACAGAAGGAGGGAGTTGATATAAAAAAGGAGGTTGAGGTGACAAAGCAACAAAGAGATATGACTAGTAATACGATGAAAATCATAAACATTTCACTGTGTTAATGTATGTTTTTTGAGGGTCACTGTTACTGTGTTTCCCTTCCCAGAATGGAGAAATTTCCATGTTAGGGGAAATCACTCATCTACAGGCCATCATCGATGACCTGACTGTTCTGACAACTGACCCACATAAACTGCCTGCCGCCAGTGAACAGGTAACGCCTCTTTCAGATGGCACTTCCTGTGCATGATGTCATCCACCTGTGTGCACTTCCTCCACTCTTATATATAATCTCATGTCCTTCCTGTGTCAATCTCTATAGTTTCTGTAAACCAAGCCTGATCCTGTGGCCAACCCTATGGTTTATTTTTTTTTAAATTATTATTTTACTGTTTCAAAGTCATTTGTGCCATAATTAACTGATCAGGAAGGGCTATGCAAAAAAAAAACAAAACAAAAAAAACATCATCTTGAGTCACTTTGACCCCAAGACTCATCACGTCCACCTGTTCAACCTAGGTCGTTTCTCTGATCTGCTCATTTGTGTCTGTTTGTCTATAGTCTTTCAGATGTTTTTCAATTGTCGTTGAAGTAAAAAATAATAGCGGGTCTCACTGCAGAGGCAACCTGGACACAGAATTCAACGAAGAATCAAAGAATAAAAAGAGTCTCTTATTTCAGGTGATCAAAGATCTGAAAGGTTCAGATTACACCTGGTCCTATCAGACTCCTCCTTCATCTCCCAGCAGCTCCGGATCACGCAAGAGCAGCATGTGCAGGTAACGACACGTTGAGAGAATGGGAGAGAAAAAGACAGAGAAAGATAAAGAGAGAGGATTTCTAGCTTTGAGAAAGGTAGAAAGAGGAGTTATACCTTTGTATTTATCTGCTGATGTGTCAGTAGTGTCACACCACTAAAGATAATTTTGTTGTTTTGGGTTAGATTTTGTAACTTTGTTTTGTTGAATTTTGTGGCTTTTGTTTTTTTTGTTGTCTTTTTTGATTTTTTTTTTTTTTTTTACTTTTTCGACAAAGGTTGAATGAAGTTGTTGAATTCTAATTGTTTATGATTGTGTTGTCCTATTTTTTTAGAAGAAAATATATAATTATACAGGTATCTTGTGGTATTTTTTAGGATTACCAGACAAAATTGTCTTGGTGATCAGATGACTATCCTACATCTGTGTGTGTCATATTTGTTATCGATTCATGAGTGAGACTCTTATGCACCTGTAGACTGTACATTTGGGATAAAACATGTTGGATGGATGGATAAAACTTAATTAATCCCTCTGGAGTTCCCTTCAGGATATTAAGGAAATGAAGTGCTTGAATTTGAACTTTTCTACCCTCAAATAACAGATGGGAAAGACGGGGATGTTTGGTTGATATTCGAATTAGCATTAACATTAACTCTTTCTTTTTACCCCACCCTGTTTTCATGACCTTTTCCCCCTGAACAATTTTCACTATCCCTTCTTCATCACTGATGATTTGCCCTTTTTCTTGGCTCTGATCTGTTTTCTCTGAATCTGCTTTTGCTGCTGCTGTGTATTATTGTATATATATTGTATTATTGTATTATTGTAATATTGTATTATTATTGTGCAGTGAGGATTAGTCCTCACTCAACACATTTTCTAAACCCAAACTTGTTTTCCAAAACTTGGATACGACACTGAAAAACTTGACCAAATTACCCCTAACGTGTCCAACCCATCTTTTCTTTCTTCTTTGTAATGTCCAAAACCTTTACCTTACTCCTCCTCTCTGCTCTTCTGCACACCCCCTCCCACTGCAGCAGCGCCAACAGTAGTTGCTCTCGCTCGTCAGGAGGTGGCGGTGGAGGCGGTGGGAGTCTTGGTGGTGGAGGAGGTTCGCAGCCACACTCACCGACCTCCTCTTCCTCCTATCGGTACCGCACCAGCCTGCCTCACCAGCCTCAGGGTGGAATCGCAGCTCACCGCCTCAGCAGTGTCTCCTCTCACGACTCGGGCTTTGTGTCCCAAGATGCAAACATCTACTCCAAGCCGCCGTCACCAATGCCCTCAGACATCACCAGCCAGGTATTGGCACACAATGACACGCACAACCATTTGTGGCTTTAAAGTAGGGATGTCCGATATTTACTTCAAACACTGTCCACAGATGCAGCTCTCTAAGGTGATGAGTTAAAGCATTGTTCCTCAATTATTCTCTGACATGCCCCCGTAAAGGACAGAAGCGTCACCCCTTCCCCGAATTGTAATACTACTATAATATTTTTTTGTTTATCCATACAAACCCCTGTATGTGTTGCTCGCATCAGCATTGTGAATACAATCCACTGATGATCAAAATAAAGTAAGCTGCCATCTAGTGGCTGAAGACAAAAGAAGACATAAGCATAAAATAAAAACATTAAACTTAAGTCCCATCCCGCACCCCACTTTTTTTAGGACACACATCATTTGGCCAAACCCAGGCTTACGTTATCAGGTTTTATTATCCTACAGATATTACATAGTTACCTTAATATCGGGCCGATAATATCCGATATTATCAGACGTCCCTACTTTAAAGGAATATTACAGGCGATCTGAGATGTAAACGTTTGACTTTTTAAATAAGAAAATAAAATTCCTAAACCACTCATTATCACCCTCTAGGGGTTGTTAGAGGGTCTACTCGTCAGAGACTTCATTTAATTTCCGTACTTTCTAGTTAGAAAATGAACTGAACAGCAAATATAAACAGTAATCGAATTCTTGGTGTTAAATAATTAGTTTACACAATCCCACTAATACATCTGAAGTACAGTATCGAATGCTTCTAAGTCGTTTTTCTGTGACCAAATTAACGTTTAGCGTTTGAAATGCTTTAATTTACCCAAGGTTTTCTTGCGTTCCTGACTTTGCCACAGAAATCTTCAAGCTCAGCATCATCGGAGGCATCAGAAACCTGTCAGTCGGTCAGTGAATGCAGCTCCCCCACCATGGTGAGTGCAACATTTTCTCTCCACAACTTTGACTCCCCCACCACAGAGTCATGCTAAACTCTGTGCAACAACTTAAATATATACTTAAAGAATTTCAGGAAAAAAGCATCGTTTCTCTGTCAGTACTTCCAAACTGAGTCATACAGTTGATTTTTACAGATCATTTCCCTTACCTTTTCTTTTCTTTTTTACTGCCCTTTCGTCTGCTTCATAAGTTGAGGGATTAATTAAAGGTTTACTTTTATCATCAAATCAGGGCAACACTGCAATCACTGTCCGCAATGCTACATAATTCCCCATCTCCCATTACAAGTAAATCTGTTCCATAACCACGGATCCATTTCATTTAACGTCTGTGAGAGATGTTTGTGTCTTTGCGATGCTTTTATGAACAGCCAGCACATCTGGTTTCCTGAAAAAACAAACATCATGTGAGGGAAACGGGCAAAGTAAAGTGTGTGTTCATGTGATAATTAGCAGCATCTGTCTGTCACTTCCTCCACAGCCACTGTAGTTAACTGGAAAACTGTAATGTTTCCAAACAGAAGACCTGAAATAGATCACTTCCATTCACTCTACGAGGCTCATCTGGGCTAACCGCTGATTAATTTAAAACTGCTCCAAGCAACTGAATGACTTAAGTGGCTGATGTGCCAAGAGATCACGAGGGCCTGTAGATCTATTCATTTTGTTGCAAACAAAAGCTTCACTCAGCAACCATCAAGATGCACAGTGATCTCTGGTACCCACAGGCTTTATAATGTCAAAGTTTGCATTTTAGTTTTACATATTTTTACATTTCAACATATCAATAATTCCATCATTTGGATTAGTCACAAATAAAAACATGTGTGAAACATACATCTTGGAGCTGTTATCTTTCTGTTCCAGTAATGTTAAGAAGAAAAAAATGGAGATTTTGGTCATATTTGTGTGTTACCATAGTGTAGTGGTAAGCAAGCCTGCCTTTCACACAGAGGGTCCTAAGTTTGATTCCCAGAGGAACCACATACTTGGCACCTCCAGGGGGCAGCCTGTTGCGGCACATATATATTTTATGTATATATTTTGGTTCCCAATTAATCATATTTCTTTTTGGATGGCGCATATATATTTTATATTATATATGTACACATATTTTGGTTCCCAATTAATCATATTTCTTTTTGGCTATGATTAAGCAGATCAAAACTTTCAGTCCTTTCACCACCCTGTGCTGGATACACTGTCCAACAAAGGCTGTTATAATATTTATGTTGCATGGGAAAGAAGAAGGTTCCATGGCCCATTAGGAAACCAAAACACTTCCTGTACGTGTAAATCCTTTATGTTGTGGTTGCATTTTGTCATACTTAGGTATTTCTTTTTTTCATTTCAATCAAGCAGCCCAGTAACATCCACGACTTCAGAAGAACTTTACTTTCTATGTGTGATACTCCTTGTGCTTTTTTTTTTTTTTTTTTTTTTTTACCAAGTGAAATCCTACTTTTTTCAGGACTGGTCCAAAGTGGGTCAGTATGAGCAGCCCACTGCAGCAGCTGCTGTAGTCCAGAGGAGGAAAGAACCTGTGGACAGAGTCAGAGAGAGTGAATTGTCCCCAACTTCCCATGCATTTGCAGGACCTTCACACTCTGATGAGGGACAAAGGCCTAGAATGACACCGTCCACCATCGCTGCTAAGGTAATAGATACGGTAACAACAGGGTTGGTAAGTTAGCACATTGTTGATCCACTGCTGAGGCAAACTGACTAAGAGTTAAGAGAGACTAAGAGTTGTGGACAGAGGGCAGCACTGTACCAGCATCTCCTGTGTTGTCTTTCGCTAAAACACATTTGTTTAAATTGTGGTCTAGAGCGTCACAATTATGAACCTTTTTGTCTCATGAAAGCACACAGAGGAGGCGTCTCCTGCAGCCAGTGACCTGGCTATGGTCCTGACCCGAGGTCTGAGCATGGAGCAGCAGAAAAGCAGCAGAGACTCTCTGCAGTACTCCAGTGGATACAGCACTGAGACCACAACCCCATCCTGCTCAGAGGACACCATCCCTTCACAGGGTGAAACTAGTAGACCAGATCTTTTAGAATATGTTGCCTCGTTGTTCTTACAGAAGTGTGGAAAAGACACATCTGTGACAATGGCTATTTTAGTGTGTTAGTGTTTCTTTATTTCCTAAAAAGATTTGGTTTTGGCAATTAATCTATGATGTGCTGTGTGCAAAAATGCATTTTATTTACTAAAAAGATTTGGTTTTGGCAATTAATGGCACTAGAAGAAAAAAAAATTAAAAACCCAGCCACCACATTTATATATACATAATTATATTATAATAACATTTTTGCAAATCTAGGAAAACACTGCATGTTTTTTAGCTAGTCTTTATAGAGCCTGTTATGACATATGACATGTATTAGGGCCACACTGAGGATATAGAAAAATAAAACAATATTATAAAAACCTTGTTTTAAACCATCATCAAATATCTATAGATCCTGTTTATCTTGGTGGATAACATTAATTGATTTTGTGCAATCGCAGACTTCACTCAAGTCCATGTGGTAAAGACAACCGTTCAGTGATTTCCTGATGCTTGTTATATGGTGAGGCTGATGAGTTAGAAGATGAAGAATTTCCACATTTCTGAGCCCAATACTAAAGTATAACTGCACAAGATTCTCCAAGGTTCTCACTGTGATATACTGTACATATGGATAACACGGGGAGTCTTCTCAAAACACATCCTCCAAACCTTCCACTTTAATTTCGTCTCATACATTTACAACCTTAATGTATTTTAACAAATCTTTAAATTCTCAATGTGGCCCTAATACTCTGTTTTAGCCCTTCCATCTTTTACGTTTCTTTTTATTCAAAGTCAGCAGGGGATGTAAAGTGCAAGCAAAGCTAAATCCTAAGTCAGTGGTTCTCAAACTGTGGTACGTATACCACCAGTGGTACGCGAGCGCTCTCTAGTGGTACGCGGGGAAAATTCATATTTTCACATTTACATTTTCAATTGAATAAATCTGAAACATACCATGCATATTAATACAACATTTAGAAAAAAACGTGTAGCTAAATAATAATGTCTGGTCTTTTTTATTTACTTACTTGTTTTTTTTTGCTGCAATGCAAGTCCGTTGCTCACGTAAGCACAGGCAGCATGGAATCATGGGATCACTTGCAAGTTGAACGTGAAACGAGCAGGGGAATTCTAATGTTGGTCATCATGGTGGTAGTCGGAGAGATCGATGTTTTCTCAGGTGGTACGGAGTATAAAAGGTTTGAGAACCACTGCCCTAAGTGATTTAGCCTTTTTAGCCTTTTTGAAACTGAGAGCTACTGTACTTCAGGGGCACTACTCAGAGAGCTGCTTGTTAGATACAGACTTCCCGAGCAATGTAATAATAATTGGTTCTGGGACATACAATAGTAAACACTCTACTTACCACCGTCATTGCACCTATTTGAAAATAATTGCAAGTAGAACTGATTCATAAGGCATAGTAACAGTACATTTTTTGACCCTCCTGTTGTCTAGTTTTTTTTTTTTTTTAGAACATACCCTGCGGGCACCTTAGGTCCCCCCCATGGAGCTAAGGTGCCCGCAGGGTCAAAACAAAGTGATGCCAATCTGAATTTAAAACAGTTCTTCTCATCCCCATCTTAAGGTTCAGATTATGACTGCTACTCAGTGAATGGTGACAACGAAGCTCCAGACAGTCAAGCTCAAGAGTTCGACAAGTCTTCCACCATTCCTCGACACTCCAACATTGCCCAGAACTACCGACGCATGATCCAGACCAAGAGACCTGCCAGTACCGCCGGTCTTCCAAGTGCTGTTCATGGTCCTGGAGCTCACGGGATACCAGGACAACCCAGTGGAGGTGGTGCGGGGATTCCAGGCACTGCCACCATCCGCCGTACCCCATCCACAAAACCAGGTGTGAGGCGCACATTGTCAAGTGTGGGCCCTATACCGATACGACCGCCCATCGTGCCTGTGAAGACTCCTAAGGTTCCTGGAGACTCGCATTCACCTGGGGCCACGGGTTGTGCTAGTGCCAGCAGTGGACAAGTGGGTGGAGTTCCTGTACGTGTTGGCAGTGAAGAGTGTGTGTTCTTCACTGGAGTGGAGGACACTCAGGGTGCTTTAGATTACGTGAAGGCATCACCGAAACGCCTTAGTCTCCCTAACACTGCCTGGGGATCTGGGGCAGCATTGGAAGTCTATGCTCAGCAGCAGGCTGGCCATTCAGCTGGTCCTGGGGCAGGATCTGAGGAGGATCAGCTAATCGCTGCAAATCGGCACAGCCTAGTGGAGAAGATCGGTGAGTTGGTAGCTAGCGCTCATGCTCTCGGCGAAGGTCAGTTCCCTTTCCCTGCTCTTCCCGATGACCCTGCTTCGCCGCCGAACGTCGGATCAGCCGACACTCAAACAGGAACGGACGAAAAAGAAGGTTCGGGCGACATGTTGACTACCATCAGACGAGGAGTGCGCCTTCGCAAGACTGTGTCCAATGACCGCTCAGCTCCACGGATCTTGTGATTGGAACAGAAAGCCAGTAAGAAATAGAAATAAAGTGTTGGTTTAAAACTCGAATCTGAACACAGACTCAAACTTTAAAATGTAGAGAAATTTAAAAAATCCACCTAAAAATGACGTTAGCGTTAAATATGAACTATTAAACTGAGTTCAACATTAATAATGTTAATCTATGATAAACATTATATGTTATGGGTCCAATATGCAACACCAGAGATTGGAAATTCGACCAATGTAAATGTAAGTAAGCTTCCCTGCCCAAATACCATTTAATTTTATCAGGCAAAAAAAAAATTTTGTTTTGTTTAAAATCTTTGGGAGAAAGCAAAGAAACGCCAGTCTTCTGCTGTAAATCCGTGCAACCCACCATGGCAGACAATTGCATATTGGACCTTTAAATACTAAATACTGAAAGGCTACTACTAGGCCACTGTTATTCGTGTTTGTTGGATGCATGTATGTCTTCTCTACATCTTCACTCGTGGACAGATAATCAAAGAAAAAAGACACGTTGATTTTTAAAGGCAATGGTACCGATTCTCAGAACAACAAAAAAAACTGGGTTGTACAGACTTGTGACTTCTCATCACACACTAAGGCCCAACTCACACGCTCACTAAAATTGTCGGCCCAGCTAAGCCAAGTGTATACAGCATTTTATAAATGTCTCCAGCTAGAATTGGTCCATCTTATTCCAGATTAAAGACTAATGATGAAGGTGAGAGGGAGAAGAGGAGGTGAATGCAGAGCCATGGTCTCATGTGACTGGCAAGAAGGACACACTGTGTTAACTATTAATGCTATCACTAATATTTATGTTGTCGTTACATTGAATTAGCTGTATAATGTGACGCCTAGCTATTAGCACGGGGAGCTAACGGATCAGATTTTTAATCTAGTTTATGCTTATGTACAAAACGTAAGAAAAACGTACCGTGGGCATTGAACCGTGCTAGCTCTCCCTTCATGTCTCTGTGCGTTTAGGTGGGTAAAGCTCTGCTGCAGGACAGCTGGTTACCCAATGAGGGCAGGGCTTTTTTTTTTCTCTTGTGTGCGTGTTCCCCCTGTGTGTTGATATTCTTTGTAAATATAAATATAAAAATATAAATATTGTGACATCATTTACTGACTTTGTCGCTGCCGTCGGACATGTCATAGGGCAAAAAAAAAAAAAAAAAAGAAGAAGAAGAAACTCCAGGCAAATAGATTTAACATAACACACACACACACACACATATATATATATAAATAAATGTATATATTTTCTAGAGGCAGAAAGAAATGTTCAATCAGAGACGCAGCAATAAATGTGTCTTATTTTTCTTGTTTCGACAAAAACAAAAAAAAAGTGGGAAGATGTGACACTGAATTGTTAACATGCATTCAGGCAAACATGAGGAATATTAAATTATACATTTACTGTGAGCTTTTAGTTTTATTATATTAAATCTTTTTCTCTTTGATGAAGGATTAGAGTTTTATAGTTTAGCCTTTTTCTTGGTTGGTCAGATTTAGGTCGGAATTGTTTTAACAGAATGGTTTTAACTTTACTGTTTTTACCTTACATATGTGTGTGTATATATATATTTATATATATATATATACACATGTATATACAATGTGTGTGTATATATATACACATATATACGTATGTGTATATATATTTTAGTATATACTATATATATATATATATACATACATATATGTAAATATATATGTATATATATATGCTGAGAAGCAATATCTATATATGTATGTATACATATTCTGCCTGTATTCTGACTCTAATCACATAACTCTGACATACGTAAATGACAAAAAAGTTTCTCAAGAAAAAGGAACACTGAATTCTCAGATTATAAGCAAAACGCATTTTCACTAAGGAGAAAAAAAAAGGAGTAAAAGTCTTGTGTAAATAATATGAATAACAAACGATATATTTTTGGACTTTAAAGTAGGAATTCTGTTAATAATCTCAGAATTTTAGAACAAGAGTCCAAACTATAATTCCATATGGCTTTAATCCTTTTTGGTTGAGATGAAAAGAGGGAAACTGTGTCGACGAGTAAATACTGTGAGCACTTTATGTTTAAATACTAGGTTTGGCGAAGAGAACGTACTGGAGCCGCTAGGAGGCACTGTTGCTCTTTTATTAGCCTGAGCGCAGGTGTGTTGAAAAGTCATTTTATTTGGAAAAAAGAGTTGAAAAAACACCAAACATATAGTGAGGGATACGAAGAAGGTAAATGGGGGATTAAAGATGAGGTAAGGTTGAGGTTTTATTTAAAATTTGAAATCATGCTGATATTTAACGATGCACAGAATAGATCAAGTAAGAACTGACCCTTGTTGTCTTGTCATTTAATACTGAGAAAGAACATGCTCAAATTAGTATAACCGCTGCTACCACAGTAAAAACGATACTTGTACTAGACAGTTAAAGGGGCAGTGGTGGCTAAGCGTTTAAATTAGGCACATTGACACAAATTGACCACAGGAGGCAGCAGCAGAACAGCAGCTCCTGTGTATCTTTGAAGTAAAATCTCTAATTTCCTTACTCTACTTTGATGTGTCGTAACAAGCTGTTTCAATTAAACAATGGACCCTAGTTGAAAAAAAAAACCCATTTAAATGCTAATGATACTTTTTGACCAAAACATTTAAATGCTAATGATACTTTTTGACTAAAAGAACTGTTTTCTGTTACAAGTTGGTCCATGTGTTACACCTCACCTAAAAAAGGCTTAAACTCTCCAAAACAAACAAAATTAGAAATGCAAAGAGTGACTTAGCAGTTTTAGAATATTCAACAATTGTTTCAGTGTTAACGAGAAGACAAATATGTGCTCAAGATGTGCTTCACTGCCTGTGTGTGTAGTGTTGTGTGCAGCTTACAGGTGTTTTTTATTTCTTTCTTTCTATGTGTAGTAAGCTGCTGTATGACCGATACGGATTCACGATGTAATGCAGTTCGAAGTTAGAGAGTTTGGTCGATGAACTGGAGCTGAGTTTAATTCTTGTTTGTTCACACTCATCAGAATATATTCAAATGTGGTTCTTTTTATGAACATTTTATGTTTTAAGATGGAGCTTTTATTTATCAAAGACCTATATGTTTACACATTCATATATATTCAGGGATGTCCGATATTGACTTTTTGCCAATGTCCGATATGCCAGGATTGAACACTTAATTTCCGAATCTGATATCAACTGATACCACTTTAGCAGGGCAGTGGTGGCCTGTTGCTTAAGGAAGTTAAGTGCCGCCTGCTCATTGAGCTGATGAATTAAAGCAGTGTTTCTCAATTATTTTCTGTCATGCCCCCCCAAACAGATTTTTTTATTCGCCCCTCTCTTGCACCACCAAATTATTTACTGTAGTCTGAGTTGCTGGCACCAGCATTCTTCATATAGATTTTTTTCACCCCTCTCTTGCACCACCAAATTATTTTCTGTAGTTTGAGTTGCTGGCACCAGCATTCTTCATACAATCCACTGATTATGAAAATAGATTAATAAAATGAGCTGCAATGCTGCCATCTAGTGGCCTTCACTTTCACATACAGCTGTTTTTCCCCCAAACTATTTTTAGGGCGTAATTCATTTGGCGAAACCAAGGCAATGTGTTCTCGGGTTTTTCGTTATCGAAGGAAAAAAACAATAATGATTCTTACAGATATTACATACTTATGCTAATATTGGACCGATAATATCAGCCGATATTATCGGACATCCCATATATATATATACATATATATATTTATATGAGTGTGTGATTGTTAGCATAGCAGTTGTGCTATTGACAACAGAAGATTCTGTAGAAACCAAAAACAGGTCTCTTCAACATTCCGAGCTCTTGTCTTTGAGGTTTCAGGCAGGGTCTGGGTTTTTGTTTTGAGAAAAGTGTTGTGGCCTGAACAGCGCTGCCTGTGGCCCGACTTCCCACTACATTTCCTGTGGTTTAGGATTTGTTGGGATAGAGTTTTCAGTTGTTAGAACAAGTGAAAGTTGGTCTGGATCACTGGTGTGTTTGTGGAGTGTGTAGGTGGCTGGTGTGTGCACGAGCCTATACATGTTTATAGTTACAGGTTACATGTTGCCATAACTATGACTGCAGAGAGAGTATCATCTGAGGCAAACGTCTCCCTTCTGTACTCATAACAAGCTGCTTTCCAAGCCAAAAGCTGGATGTCTACACCTTCAGCCCTGTTCCACTTTAACTCATTTTCATTTGCAACTTTTTAATTTTTCACTTTCTTTTGAGCTGAATTTCACAAGCTGCTTGTATTATACTGCTTTGATGATTACTTGGCGAGCATATGTAAAAGATGCAAAGATGAGCAGGAGTTTAACATGCAGGGTGTTGTTTTACCAAAATTACCATTACAAAATAATCTTCAAGCTGAACTGCTTTTTTTTTGTGTGATTCCGCTGCCGTCGTCCCTGCTTTGGGAGGCAGCCTTTGTAGTGACTGAGCTGAGCTGTGAATAAATCCATGTATTTTAATTTGCGGCATGTGTGGAATGAGTCTCTGGGCATCAACAACCTTAAAGAAAAACCTGTGCACTTGTTGCGTAGTGTAGTGGTAGAGCTAACACCAATACACACTTTATATCATAGTTTGACAGGAAGAAACTATGTGATGAACGGCTCACTTTAACACCGTAGAGGAAATCGGTAATTTTAGCTCAAAGCACAAAGGAAATAACAACGTTATACGTTTCCTTTCCGTTTCACAATTCTACCACAAGAGACACATGTAAGCCAGTGGTGTGTGTTCCAGAGAGCAACAAAAACAATCTGTCTTTTCTCAATGTAGAGTAGAAGTTCGCAGTTCACTTTAACGTCATAAACTGAATACAAACTTGTGTCTACAATAGTCTTATGAAATTGTTCAAGTATTTACCGAAATCACCAAAAACTCCTCAAACGCCCTTTGAGTTTTGGAACTGTATCTCCACTCTAATAGTTTAATAAAGTGCAGCAAAGATGAAGTGTTTCCTTATCAGCGTCTGCAGATGGAGATCTAATCTTCCTGGATCTATATCCTTTATAACATAATTTGCAGTCTTGTAAAAAAAAATATACTGTTCCATTAATCAGCTTCTTACCAAACTCAGAATCTCATCTGTGAAACACTGCATCAATATTTTAGAGTTTTTTTTTTTTTTTTTTTTTTTTAGCAGATGTGAAGTCATGGAGTTAACAGCGGGAAAAACAGAAGCTCCAGATTAATTTTTGTCAGTCATTTGTTCTAACAAAATCACCTAAACACAGACACCTTGGCACTTAAACTTCTGAGAGCTGCTGTGGCAGCTTTGGTTTTACACTCTCTGTCTCTGTTGTATATATTTTTTTTTTAACTCACGCAAATGAAACCACTCTTTGCCTGGTTTGGAAGTAGAAGATGTGGAAAATCCAGTAGTGTGTTGAATTGAGAGTAAACCCTCCATTTAAGTCCACGATTGGTCTTGCTTATGTCGCTCTGACTTTAACATTTAACGTTTGTCTAATTTGTACAGTATTTTAAACAAATTTGTCCAAAGTCCCTGAAAACGTTGGTCATACAGCCTAATTTTTACAGTATTTTTAACAAATTTGTCCTAAGTCCCTGAAAACGTTGGTCATACAGCTCTTTTGTATGTGTTGTCAGGTTTCGGCTCTTTGTAATTCAGAATATCTCAGTCCTTCAACATCCTTGTTTAATTTAAATTCCTGGAAGATTTGGTCTTGTTTAGTGGAGATTTTGGTCTTGGTCTCTTAACCTAAAGGTCTAAAGTAAAGTCGGTCGAAGCCTGGAATCCCGTTTAGCGGAAACGATTGGTACCTTGTTCGCTTTTTTCTGCTTCTCTTCCCCGTAGTCTTGAAAATAATAAATGAGTTGTTTGGAAGGGTAAAAAATAGAGCAATCAACATTGTCGTGGTCGTCCTCCTCCGGCTCCTCTGTCGCCGCCCTGCTGGCATTGTTATTTTCTTTATTCTTTAATTTATTGTGAGATTATTTTTCATTAATCATTCACGGATTGTTACGAGTTATTCCTTTCTTAATTTTTTTTTGTAAAACTGACCAATTTTTTTTTTGTTTTTAATATTTGTTAACATTAGTCACTGCTAATGTATAACACACACTGTGACATTTCCAGTATTAATAAAGTTGTTCTTAAACTGTGATCCCTAACTGGACTGGACCTTCGTTTGTGCAACGATCA